CCACACGATCCGTCGTTTTCCAGATCTTGACAGCTACTGAGACTAAGGTCAAGCCTAGCTCCACTAGCTTTCGTGACCTGCATAACAACCTGTCTATCATTTTACATGGCTTGCTGCTTGGCACCATGACAAGGCCACAGCGAGGCAGAAATGTGCCTGGCCCATGATATATTCAGATTCCCCAGGAAAAGCCCCGTAGACTTCGGCATTGTCGATGAAGTTGATTCCAGCACGGATGGCCGTTCTCAGAATTTCCACCTTGCCGGGTGACGTGTTCGCCGAGGTTTGCGCAGATCACGCAGGCATTGCAGCCCAGCGACGTGCTTCTCCAAATTTACCTGATCTTGGGCTGCGCACATCACGGTGGCATCGAGCTGCCTAGCTCTGGCCAAGTTGCTGAACCCGTGGCAGAAACCGTGAGCCAAGCACCATAGGAGATGGCCGACACACGCAATCCAGACCGGCCCAATGCTCCTGACTCCACAGAAAGATCCCTCCCAAGAGTACATGCCGTACCCTTGTCTGATGCAGCAAGTTCTGAGTGCCCAGTCCGCCCCTTGACGCATAGTTTACTGACTTGGAATCACAGAGAGTGGCCTGACCTTCCTCAGCCTTTACATGATATTCAACATACACAGGCAAGCACACAGCCGATCACGGCAAACCACTCTGCCCTAAACTTCCCCTGACAAAATCGTTTGGCGGGACAACGTCGCCGCCACTCTCCTCCCAGCTAAACTCTGGCTACTTTGTCTACGATCATAGTCTCTCCTTGCATCATTTATCGCTTCAATTTGTCCTATTTTTCTCATGCGGAATGTGACCACAAAACTCGAACCAGACCTGTTGTTCGCTGGAACGTGTCACACAAACATTTGCCTCAAGCGGAAAGCAGGATTGCGGTCTCATTCATAGATTCTCGCGGAGTCACGCATTCCCAAGATTCCCTGCATGCTCGACTAAGTTGCTGATTTCTGTGCTGATGCTTTCTAAGTGCTGTCTTGAACATGTCTTGAAGGAATTGGCACAGGAGGCGGACACCAAGGCCAACGTTTCTTCTTGCCAAAATGGCTTGCCATGTGCTCTGGTGGTGTCTTGATCAGCTTAGAGGCTGCACGCAATGCTTTGCATGTGATGTTTGTATCCAGGAAGGCCAGACATTGAGGCTTTGCATCCCGGGACCCGGCACAAAAAGGAAATTGCGCAGCATCGGAATGATCCGGACAAACAAGGAAACTTGAGGCCACACTGATTTTCCAAAGACAAGGGCCCAAGTACTTGCAATGGGCAAGACTTGAGCAGTGGCTTGTCTGTCCTCACGCAGTCTCGTGGTGGTGAATTACGAAATTGGAATCTTGTCCATTGGGGACAAATTGATCTGCTCCGTTGTGTTCTGTACTGCGTCTTCTCTATGCTCTAGCCCATAGGAGTTTCCAGGCCTAAATCGAGCACAAGATTCATGTAACTAGGACTGTTCGGCTGCACAATGAAAAGTCGCAAGGACATCAACAACTCACTGCGAGTGCCCTCCCCTTCTTACCGCTGGGATCATCCTGTGTGTGCAGGTCATATGAGACGCGGAGGATCAGAGACTGGAGCTTCTGTGCTCCCAGTCCGGATTTCGAGCCCCCCTCTCGCTAGCCAACTTCTGACTAGCTGTCTTTCGGCTTATCTGACTGGTGTCAACAACTGTCTCCTTGGGGCAAAGCATCAGTCAGCCCTGCTACAAGACAAGCCCGGACCAAGACATCACCTTTGTTGAACAGGTGGGGCTCTCTCGTTGTAGCGCGACACCCTCAAGTCTAAGAGCCGCTTGCTGTCTCTATCGTTCTCTCTTCCCGAAGCACCTCCCATCTTTCGTTCGTTGCCAGCTTGCCAGAAAATCTACCCAATTCAGCATAAGGGGTTCAGCCAAGCTGCTGTAGACCATGGACGTAGCGCCCTCATGAGACAGCAATGCTGTCACACGCTACCGTGGATACAACACGATTAAGCAACAGCTCATAAACGTCATGTGGGATAGGGCCGAGATATGCCGAGATGCGGGACTGAAAGGCGATGACTGATTCTGCGAGCGGCCGCATGTTCCCGGCCCCAGCGCCACAGCCGCGACGAATTGTAGACCAAGGATAAGTGCGCGCATGGCTCCAGTTGGAGAAGCGACAGACTGGCACTGATCAGTGTGCAGCGGGTGTTAAGCTGCTATGGCTTGATTTCTGTGCTGCATTATGTGCCGTTCCATGATCAAGTACTTGCATGGAACCCTGGAAGCATGACTTGAATTCCATCAATCTTGGTCGTCAGCTCACACATTGTCCATGCAGCTTCGACCGACTTATCGTCTCCCCCGAAAACTCGGGGCGCAGGCTGGCGGTACGCCCCTATGGTGTGAGTTGAATGCGACGTTCTCGAACTGCAAAGCCTCACGTCCGGCGGGAGCACCCCACCCGAAGCAGGACTGGAAAGCATGAGCTGGGCATGAGATGGCATGAGGGGGCATGGGGCCTCCAGCACCCTCGGCGGGGCCTGCAAGTCACACAGCCATCCGAGTTTTATCCGCCTCTGCTGCACTCTGCACCGGGCATGTGTCAGGCCTCTGCAAAAAGCCGCGAGGAAGCTGCATCCCGCCTGCAAGATGCTGGATTAGTCAACTCCTTTATCGCTGTTCCGGATGTAGTCAGCGAAGATCAAATGCGAGAGCTTCAACGCTGCTGGGCTCGAGACTGCAGCCGTACTGGAAGATTTATGTTTTCAGCCCTGCATCGCGGACTTCAAGTCTAGGTGTAAAACCACCCTTCTCAAAAGCTCGGAGGAACATGCCACCATCTTGCCTGAATGTAGGAACCAGGCTCTGTGGTGACACGGCCGCAACCTTGGTTGCTGGATAGCCCGAGCTGCTTCACAAAAAGAGACAAGACTTTGCAAAGCACCTGTTGATCACGAGCTTGGCAACTAGGGGAGCCGCAAGCCACTCAAAGCCTAAGCAGGTTCCCCAAACAGGGAAGGTCTTGCCAGCCTTGTCAGTGTTGAAAGATTGCTTGGATTGACATCTCAATCTCCGGCCTCCAGCATGCTTCTAGAGTACTCGAGCACGCGAAGTGCAGCAGGAGGAGGGTCCATGTCCTGCCCTGAGAAGACGCTGCAAGAGTCTACATGAGGCGCACACACACGGACACAAAACACAGCATCTCGGATGGGTCCTCCCGTGAACAGGAAGCCATTGAGCGAGCCGAGCAGCTCTGCCATCTGCGTGTGTCAAGATGTAACATCAGTCCAAACGGAAGAACCCCTCCATCCTCGCCTCTAGGTCGCTTGCACTGGATTTCACTGGCCTTGGATGCGCACTTAATGCTCTGGCTCCAGACAGGCGTTGACTTGTAAACTGGCCTGATTACATAGCGCAGCCCTTGCTAGGTGTCTTCCATCTAGAACATTGGCGCATGCTCACGGCACACACTGTCAAGCTCGCAAAATCAAGATGAGGCTGCCCGCACAACTTCTCCACCAGCGGACTCCACGAACCGAACATAGGATGCTGGCAGAGCCTTGAATAGTCTGATAACTCGCATTCGCAGAACTGAATGAATGCCGGCAAACCTCGCATGAGGAAGATGAGCTGCAGAACTGCCTGGCAACATCTCTGACATCTTTCGGTCCCGGTCCAGGCTGAGAGTTGGTAGGTAGCTGAACAGTCTGTTTGCATGCAGGTTCCGCTTACAGCCTGTGATGTGCGGGGTTGTGTTAACAAATGCAGAAGTAAGCGCAGGACGGATCCGTTGGCAGAGAAAGCATGCCAATGATGGGGCTGCCCTGGCGGAATCCGTTTTCTCTAGCAAGATGCGTCAGGGGGTCCCTTTCAAGGTATCAGTAGCAAATAGGTAGTGGTTCACCCTTCCCGATTGCTCTTGGCTTTAGCCTCAGGCATTGGTTCGCACTTCCCCCACTTCAGAGCAGTTCAACATACAGCTCGTCCCAGAAGATCGGCCAGGAATCCCTGCTCTCTGCATGAAGCCTCTAGCTCATCTGAAAAAACGCCAAAGCGCAGTATTGCTGGCACAAACAGCTACGTACAGACACATTGAGATGTCTGGCAGATGCCGCATGAGTGATGATCCAAGGCTCTCAGAATCTTATCCTCCAGAAATGCAGCATTGAGCGAGCCTTTTGCGCCTTCTGTTACACTCTAGTTTTGGTGCCCTCTGTTTGGCGGCCTAAAGGGCCAAGAACTTTCTTTCTCATGACAGAACAGCAGGGCCTTAGTTTCTCAGCCTCATCTAAACCGTCGTGTGCCTGCTTCTCATCGATCTAAAGCGGGTGGCAAACACGTGGTGACTTGTACCCCCACGCTTGGGTAATTTTCCGTATCTACCTACAGACGTGCTGCCTTCTGGCAGCCGTTGTGTGGCAGAGGTTTCCCCGTACCTTTGTGCGATGTGCTTTTCTTCTGCTTCAGTTTGAGGACCGCAGTTTGGCAGAAGCACGATCAGAAGAATCGGCATCAAGCCATCAAAACACTGGATGAAGTCTCAGCGGAGGCATGAATAAGCACTCAGTAAGCACGAGGGCCTCCTGGATGTGCGCTGCCCCCAGCGCACAAAGCACAAACCATGAGCACCTGACTTTGATTCAGACAGACTCCGTCCTGCTGCATCCTGCCAGCAGACAACCCACGTCAGCACTCAGCACTAGCCCGCCTATTCAATGGAGCCATGCTGTACAAGCTCGTATTTCGAAGGAACGCTTCTTCTTGTAGCTTGATTTGCATTTGCAAAGCCCTGATGTGGTGTGGAAGCCAGGATGTTAGGATGTGGTGTGGATGTGATGCTAGAAGCTTAGCTGGGTCTAGAGGCCTGGAGTCGGCAAGCAAGTCATGTTGCTGGACCTAAATTCTTGTGCACATTCAGCAAGAGCAGCTGCGCGTCATGCGCCAACCAATGGTCGCTTGAATGCTCAGCATGGTTCCAATGTGCAGATTCAGGCATGATCTCTTCAGGCCAGGCCCGAAGGAAAAACCACGGGGCCTCGGCTCAGCCCCTCCAGTAGCCGGAGGCATCGCATGCATCGCAAGTGTGAATCTGAGCTTGGCGCGGTGCCACTGGCGTGCCTCGAGAGAGCTTCTGGAGGCCTCAGAGTGCAACGAGATCCTTAAACCTGGGGATACCTGAGGTGCCTCTTTGGCCGAGTCACTACTTGGACGCGACCCGTGGAGCCAGCTCGCCCGGAGGTGGACGCAGTTGTTCCCGGTGTGCTGGAACCACTCTGGGAGGGCACAGCTGCCTCATTTGTTGGGAAACACACAACAGAGCTAGATACGCCGCAGCCATCCATGGCCTGCTGGCGACCACTGACAGGAGCTGGTGCCTGTCGCGCCCAACCGGCAGTGGATGCACCGTAATAAAAACATACCTTTTGTGGTAATGGCTCCGCCGGGTAGACCACCCTCACTGGGTGGGGCGCAGGCCTTCCTCCAGTCAACTTTGGCATTATGTCATGCAGCTCTACATGACCCTTTTGCATGCACAGCCTCCGGCATTTGCAGCCATCCTGAGCCAAGATACGCGGCAGTTTCCAAGAAGACTCTGTGGAACGCTCAGCTGCTCAGCTTTCCACAGAGGAACTCCATTTTGCTCAGCAGCTTTGCCTCGCAGGGCTCTTGCATCCTGCGCCGAAAACCAAGATTATGTGGGATCTGCAAGCCCTGCCAGGCAAACATCCACTTGCTGCTGGAAAGCAGGGCGCAACTTGCCTTAGGGCTGATTTCCAGACATGCTGCCGGCTCCTTTTTCTTGTCTGAGGGGTGGACACAGTGTTCATGGCACGCTCCAAAGGGACGTCATTTACAACTCTCGCCGCGTGCTGGAGTAAATCCCACTAGACTCGACTGAACCGCAGGAAGGAGTCATGAGCAGTCGCTGCTTGCAAATGGGCAGAGCTAGCGAATCAGCACATCTCAAGTCTGTAGCCGCGAGTGCTTTTGGTGGTAGATATGTCTGTGATAACAAGGTAGAGTTCAGAGCCAAAAGCTGGCGACAGCAAACGGTCATGGCAACGTCCCGCCGTCCCTCGATCTTTTGTCGCAACATCCACAACCAAAAGCCATCGTGATTCTCTGGAGTCCACCCAGTTTTAACGCAAGCCGCATTCTGTGTGTCTTTGAGAGATCTGAAAAGCTTCTCCTGAATATCAGGAAAACTGCCACACAACCTTGCAGACTGGACTCCGGAACTACAAATGTCTGCATGCCCTCTCCTCCGGACACGTAGTTGAAGCAGGAAAGTTCTGTCCTCAACGTCGTTCCCGAGTCGGCGCCTCCAGCACTCTACGCAAAGGCCGATGGAAACACATGTACACTTGGGGTTTTGCAGGGGGATTTCCATGCCAGGAGCAACTGACAACAGCACAGCCCGCAAAGATCACGAGGTAGATTCACGACATCGGTAGGATCATTCCGTCATGATCCGCTATGAGGCTACATCTTCGACGCAAGCAGATCTGCTCCACAGGCCAGTAGACAAGCGATCGCATGATGCCGCAGGCACGCTTTCGCTGACACCACGTAGCATGGAGGGGTTGCGAGCCGTCCTCCGCCACAAACACGATGCTCAACGTGAATCTTGTGCCGACTCCAAAATATTCCAGCAATGGAGTCACCACACCGAACCCTCCGTGAAAGGTCATGTCGATCATGAAAGGCGTTTCACTCAAGGGCTTGAATCTCCCACTCAAAGGAGCTCATACCATCCAAAGCTGCATGCCGGCAAATACGCCAACCAAAATAACACACCATGTACAGGAGCGAGTCTGCCTCCAGCTAAACTTCTCGTCATCGCGCCAGAGACTACTCCAAGCGTCTCTTGTACCAAACATCCACTGGACTGAAAACATAAGCATAAAGACTTGTAATCTTCGCTCACGTCGATCGAAGAAATTGTAAATGCGTGGAGGGAGAATGTTGTGCATGTTGCCACTCTCTCGATGTTCATAAGCAAAATACTTGTACACCATCATGAGCAGCACTGGTGCTTAGGAATGCACCAACAGGTAGAAAACAAGCCAGACCGCGGTCCACTACACTCTAAATGCAAGGCCAACCCAACAGCACAAGGAACCTCCCTGGTATACCTGGCCCGAGACTTGACTAACCCTCGCAGGGTAGCATGTAGAGGCTCTAAAGCTTTTATGTCCAGTGCCCAGCTATGCCTGCGGTTCAATGTAAGCGCGAAGCAGCAGATGCCATTCCGCCATTGACCTGCTGTGTAGCCAGCTCGAAGCTGGGGGGAAAGGATACGAACTGCAGTATGGGCTGTCCAAAGATTTGTTTGGGAAGGAATACCGGGGTCCAGATGCAAACCTTTAAGAAACAATACATAGCACTGTTCTCTCTCGTGTGAAGCACCGGAATCTGCATGCAGTCTTCAAAAGCCATTCCAGGATGCCGAGCTGGCTGAGCTTCAACGCATCCCACCAATACGCATCAATATTGAATGGAGGCTCATGTGATCCGCCGATGCAAATCCCCATCCTGCCAAACTGCAAAACACTGCATGGTACGAGCAATGGGCATAGCCGAAGCAATCCCAAGGATGTTCATCGACTCTAGAGACCTTGCTGCATACTGTCCCGGTGGCAAATAGACCCCCGAACTTGCATCATACAAAAACAAATAGCATGAGGTGCGGCCGGAGAGGGGACTGGCTTGCTCCAAAAAGCGCGTCATGGGCCACAGCCATCGTCCAAACTTGCTCTGGCTGCTACCACGCCAGGCTTGCTTCTGCTAAACCCGCCTGGGTTTAGAAGTCTGCTTAACGATGACAACGAGAAGATCCGGTTCGGAATAAACGGATGGCTCCACCTCTGATCCAGTTCGGCCACCGCGTATTCAGCTTCGCGCCGGGTCGCATATTCAACCTGGGAGAAAGTACAGGAGTGGTAGCTAAGCGGTTCGGGCTAATGGAGGGGAGAAAACATCAAATGAGAGGGCCAGGATCCCTGCCCAACCGCGCTTTGGCTTCTCTGCATCTCCAAAGACTCTCAGCGCCAGCACCTGTAGAGGCCGAACAGGAGATAACAAGAGTTTCTCAGAGAGCGTCTAGTGCAGCAGCATTCTTGCTAACAAGCCCGCGGTGACCCACCTTGCCATATGTAGAGGCAGTGTCCTGCTGGCTTCCACTCCGGGACTGTGCCTACTGTGCAATTTTATGGCTCGGTCCTTCAGCTCTGCCTCTTCCATGTCGTATGGCAGACACGAAATGTTTACGCGAACAGCTCCGTAGTCCTGCTTCTCAACAGTATCACGCATCATGGTTAATGTGAACTCCATGTAGGTTCACTGGGGCCCTCCTTTGTATCCTGAGGTCTTCGAGGTGAGCGTGAAGCTCGTCGACCGCCGTCAGGTCTAGCTGGACCTGGTCTGCCCAGTCTGCCCGCCGCCCCTCCGACTCCTTTCACGTTCCGCTTTGGGATCAAAGCGTCTGAGGCGGCTTCTGTACGCGGCACGACGCTCCGGAGCAGGTTCTCTGCCGTCCTTTGATGCTGGAGAGGTGACATGCGCCCAGACAGAAAATGATGAGTTCGGGGCATGTCGAGGACCTGCTGG